ATTACAATTCCACCGTGGAGCTTGTTTTCCAGGGGACAAACTTGCTACAAGGTAGTAACCATCCGATGCATCTTCATGGATATAGTTTTTATGTTGTGGGATTGGGTTTAGGGAATTTCGATAAGGACAAGGATCCCTCAACGTACAATCTGGTGGACCCTCCTCTTCAAAACACCATTCATGTTCCCAAAAATGGATGGATGGCCGTAAGATTTAAGGCTAACAATCCTGGTACGTATAAGTTTTATCTTCAAAATAAAGTTTATTGAAACATGTAATACAAGCTGTTAATTCATAGACTTCTTTGGATATATAGTTCCTGCATTGTATGAGTGTTTAATTTCTTCCATTTGGCACCAAAAATAATAATAATAATAAATAAATAAACAGCAAAACAACAAATTAGTTTTATTGCTTGTTCAAGGGGTTCTCCAACCCATTAGACAGTTTCAATTAGTGCAAATGTTTGAGTTTTAAATTGGTGGTGTCACCCTCTAAAATCAGGAATTAATTAAAGCATTTTCCTATATTTCAAAATTGTTATGGTTGTTATTATCATTGACTTCTTTAACTGTTTTTCTGTTTCTTTTTTGTTCTTAAATAGGAGTATGGTACATGCATTGCCATTTTGATCGACACATGGTATGGGGCATGGATACAGTGTTCATAGTTAAAGATGGTGAATCCCTGGAGGCCAAAATGTTACCACCACCACCTGACATGCCTCCATGTTAACTAAGGCTATCTCAATTAAATCCAAGGTTGCAAAGTCTTTTGGTCAAGAAAGATATGTCCTTCCATATACATATCTGGACAAAAAGAAGCATTGTAATCCTTGAAAGTATTTTGCTAAATGGTTCTGTTTAGCAGGAGAATTCTATCATCTGCAGGCTTGCTTTTAGTTTTTTTTTTTTTTTCTCTCCCAACAAATAAATATTTTTTATTATTTAGGTACAAAGGGTACCTTAACCCTTTACATCAAATTTTACATTCCCACAAATCTTCTCCAAATCTAAACTACAATTTCTCCCACAGCATAAATAAGAAATTGAATCCAATTACTTAAAGTAAAAGCTAAACTCTCAGTTTTCTCTTTAATCCAAATAAAAAATTTAGAGAGTATTTGATAAAACTTAAAATGTATTTACTTTAAAAATAAATTTTTTCTTATAAATTTAAAATTTTATTGAAGAGAAATTTAAAAATTAATTTTTTAAGTAAATTTTAAATAAAATTTTAAAGAATTTTAACTTCAAACTAAGAAATATGTAATTTCGTTGAAAAGTAAATTAAAGCATTTGACATCAATTCAAACG